AGGTGTGGGACTGGAAAATGGGGGAGGGGAAGGATTTTTCATTACAGAGGAAGTGGGGACTCTATTTTCTTGATGGGGGCTAGGACCAGACACTCTACCCTTTCAAATACCGTATCTGTGACTACCAGCCTCCACTGCTGCCATACTTCTCTACTCCATCTGATGCCAAAGCTGTTGGTAGACTTCTGTTTATTTTTTAAAGGAGAACTTTTGGCCAGGCACAGTGGCTCATGCCTATAATCCGAGTGCTTTGGGAGGCCAAGGTGGGCGGATTTTTGAGGCCAGAAGTTCGAGACCAGCCTGACCAACATGGCAAAACCCCGTCTCTACTAAAAATACAAAAATTAGCCGGGCGTGATGGCACACACCTGTAATCCCAACTACTTGGGAGGCTGAGGCAGGAGAATCGCTTGAACCTGGGAGGCAGAGGTTGCAGTGAGCTGAGATCACGCCACTCTATGCCAGCCTGGGCGACAGAGTGAGACCCTGTCTCAAAAAAATAAAAATAATATAAAAGAGAATTTTTTACTATTGCAAAATCCTTGGAAGTAGATCTGAAGTCTCCCATGAATTTGAATATCCCATGCTAGCTATTCAGTTCTCAAATAGGGCAGAGTGGGATATTTGAACATTTTCTTCTCCCCATTTTCTTTCCCCCTAGACTCTGTTCCAGCCTCAGACAGGTGCCTATCAGACCCTGGCCAAAGAGTGTGTGGCCCAAGGCTGCTGTGTAGATCTCTTTCTCTTCCCTAACCAGTATGTGGATGTGGCCACGCTCTCTGTTGTGCCCCAGCTCACCGGTGGCTCTGTCTACAAATATGCTTGCTTTCAGGTATGGTAATAGTATTTGCAGTGGCAGATGTCATCAGGGCTGGGAATACCTGCTTATATATGGAGTGGCTGACTCATTAATAGAAATAGCGTTGGGGCTGGGCATGGTGCCTCACGCCTGTAATCCCAGCACTTTGGGAGGGTGAGGCAGGCGGATCACCTGAGGTCAGGAGTTCAAGACCATCCTGGCCAACATGGCAAAACCCCATCTCTACTAAAAATACAAAAATTACTCGGGTGTGGTGGCGGGTGCCTGTAATCCCAGCTACTCGGGAGGCTAAGAATCCCTTGAACCCGGGAGGCGGAGGTTGCAGTGAGTGAAGATTGCGCCACTGCACTCTAGGCAGGGCGACAGAGTAAGACTCTGTCTCCAAAAAAAGAGAAATAGTGTTGGAAGAGAAGACCGCATAGTCTAAAGAAGTGAGCCCGAGAGTGTGGCAGTTAGGAACATGGGCCTTGGAATCAGTCCTGCATTGATATTCTGGCCCCACCACTTACTAGCTACATGACCTAGGATAAATTACTTAAGTACTCCCTCTTTTGTTCCTTCATCTGCAAAATGGGGTTAAAATACTTAAGTAGGATTTGTCTACAAAATTAAATAATTATATGTAAAGCACTCTGTGTGGTACCTGGTGTGCAGCCTAAGTGTTTAAAAGCTATTGTTGTCATCATCATTATCATCGTCACTGTAATGATGATAATTAGGCAGCCTTGTAGAGTGGAAGGGGTACAGGGAGATTATCTGCAGGATGAGCTATGTCTAGTCAGTGATATGACTCTGGGTCTGGGGCCCTGCAGGTGGAGAACGACCAGGAGCGGTTCCTGAGTGACCTGCGTCGTGATGTCCAGAAGGTTGTTGGCTTTGATGCTGTGATGCGGGTCCGGACAAGCACTGGTCAGTCCTGGTTGGAGAAGAGCAGGTGGGGGGCCTAAGTCTGGAAGGGAGGCATGTGGCACTTGTCATACCTTTTGCCCTAACTCTGTCCATGTGGCCTCAGGTATCCGTGCTGTAGATTTCTTTGGAGCTTTCTACATGAGCAACACAACAGACGTGGAGCTGGCTGGGCTAGATGGGGACAAAACGGTGACTGTGGAGTTCAAGCATGATGATCGGCTCAATGAAGAGAGCGGAGCCCTCCTGCAGGTGGCAGGCGGGAGGCGGGGCTGGGCAGGAAATGTGTCATTCGCTTGGTATAGAAGAGGGTGAGGAGTGGGTAGAGAGCACTGGAAGAAGAGACTGGGCAGGGGAGTGGCTCATTTCTCTCTTCTAGTTTAATAATGTAGCAAAGGGCCTTTGTGAGGGAGGGGTGTGAGTTCCCCCTTTCTCCCTTCCCCTAGTGTGCCCTGCTTTACACCAGCTGTGCAGGGCAGCGTCGGCTCCGCATCCATAACTTGGCCCTGAACTGCTGCACCCAGCTGGCTGATCTGTATCGAAACTGTGAGACTGACACGCTCATCAACTACATGGCCAAGTTTGGTGAGGGTAGAGGCAGGGCAGGGTGGGATTGGGGCTGAGAGATCCAGGATGGTGAGCGGGTAGTTATGATGGTGGGAATGCATACATGATGGGCAGCTGACCAGTGACTGTCTTTGCTTTCCCATCCAGCATATCGGGGAGTCCTGAATAGCCCTGTGAAGGCTGTTCGTGACACTCTCATCACCCAGTGTGCCCAGATCCTGGCCTGTTACAGAAAGAACTGTGCTAGCCCCTCCTCTGCAGGACAGGTGGGGCAAGTATATTAGTGGGAGGTGGGGTTGTTGGGACAAATGTTTGCATTTGGGAGGGATTTCTCATGATCATCGACTTTATTTTGATAATCCCCTCAGTTGATCCTTCCTGAGTGCATGAAGCTACTCCCAGTTTACCTGAACTGTGTGTTGAAGAGTGATGTCCTGCAGCCTGGAGCTGAAATCACTACTGATGACCGTGCCTATGTCCGACAGCTAGTTACCTCCATGGATGTGGCTGAGACCAATGTCTTCTTCTACCCTCGGCTCTTACCTTTGGTGCGATTGAGGGTTGGAGTTTGAGATCTTGCATGGAGCAAAGGGCCTCTTAGGAGGAGGAAAGGATAGGCTAATATCAGTCTGACACTAGTGGAATTTGTTTTTATGTATTTTAGCTGATGCAATTTTCACACTGAGAGAGTTACTGAGACCCCAGAAGGGGTGGTATCTGAGGACTTAGCTTTCAGAATTTTGTGTGTGGTGGGGGACAGACTTGTCTTATGGTCCTTGGTAACCTTTTGCTCCCTTCCTTTTGTCTAGACAAAATCTCCCATCGAGAGTACCACCGAACCACCAGCAGTTCGAGCCTCTGAAGAGCGTCTAAGCAATGGGGATATGTATTTACTGGAGAATGGTCTCAACCTCTTCCTCTGGGTGGGAGCAAGCGTCCAACAGGGTGTTGTCCAGAGCCTTTTCAGCGTCTCTTCCTTCAGTCAGATCACCAGTGGCTTGGTGAGGGCAAGGAGTCAAGGAGAATATGGGTGTGGAAGTATACTTTGTGAAACGATTGGGAGCCAATAAAGTTAGTGTGCTAGTCCCCTCAAATATCAGGGAACACTTGGGGACAAGGGCAGTTGCTGTAATTGTTCCCAGGCTTCCTTGTTTCAGATGATGCATAGATGTGTGCTGCCCCACCTTGACTGAACTCAGAGTGCCTTACCATAAGGATAAATGAATTTTGTGTTCTAGAGTGTTCTGCCAGTTCTGGATAATCCACTGTCCAAGAAGGTTCGAGGCCTCATTGATAGCTTAAGGGCACAGAGATCCCGGTACATGAAGGTAACACTGATCTGAACCCTGGATTTCTTACCGTGTCAAGTCCTCGCCTAGAAGTGGGGGTTGGGTGGGGAATGAGTAAGTGACTGCCAAATGGGATTTCTGGGCATGTTTAATTTCCTTTGGCATTGCCTCATGAACCCTGAATTCTGGCTATAGCTTATCGTGGTGAAACAGGAGGACAAGCTGGAGATGCTGTTCAAGCACTTCCTGGTGGAAGATAAGAGTCTGAGTGGGGGAGCATCTTATGTGGACTTTCTCTGTCATATGCACAAGGAGATTCGGCAGCTACTGAGCTAAAGCAAGTGGGTAAATGGCACAGGGCCCAGGCCAGCTTCCAGAAAGCACCCCAGGATGTCAGAGAAATTGGGACAGTACCATATCTTATGTCATGTAAGCTGACCTCAGTCTCTTTGGGGGGGAGGGGGAGATATAAGGAGACACCTTCTTTCTGGACTCAACTATCCTGCCACTCTGTCATGTCCTGCTGATCGAAGGTGCCCCTGTTCCCTCACTCTACCCTCTTTTTCCTGCTAATCCTGTCACAATGAATGTAGTTTCTCAGTTCACTGTATATGATTCGGTATTGGGGGTTTGGAGGCACCCAGACCCTGGCAATATTATGTGTCCCTTTGGGCCAGTCTCCCCAGAGGAGAGGGGCAGGCAGGAAAGAGTGGGGATCCTAAGGTTACTACAGGGGGTGGCTAATTCAGCTCAGTGTCATCCACAACTTCCTATATTAGGGATAAAACATACAGGTGCACAAGAGCTGGGGTATAGCCCATAGGTGGTGGAGAGAAAAGTGGTCAGTCCTTCTTGGGCCTGGAGGTTAGAAGTCAAGTTTCTCTGCTTTCACTGCTCACTCGCTCTCTCCTGCAATGATTGATGATCACTCCGTGGATAGAGAGACACTGGCAGAGATGACCTGGGAATTCAGTTGCAAAGTATATTAAGATCTGGGAGAGGTACCAGTCTCCTTTCCAGCTGGAGAGGCCCCAACACTGGATGGTTCTATAGGGAGCCTAGGGAGCCTGGTCATCAACTTGCAATACCTCACAGAGCCAGTTCACATCCCACTCTGAGCTCCCACGAGAAACACTGCTTCTCCAGGCCCGGGGTTGTTGGGGAGAGAGGCAGAGGCAGCTGGAGCGCCGTTCTCTCCTGCCGGGACACCGCTTGGGCTTTGGTATTGACTGAGTGGCTGACAGTTATCTTCCAACCCCAACTGGCTTGGGGGCAGGACAAGGGCTAGGCTTGACGGTGGCCAGGCTTGTCTGCTCCCCGCCTGGGATGCCCCTGCTCTGGACCTCTCATTTCTCATTGGTTTATTTTTCAATGCATCTTTAATTTGTAAAGAAATAAAATAAATTAAGATGTAACCATTAGCCTCATGTTTACTCCCGAAAGCTCACTTTGCTTTTAGCCCTGGCCGTCGGCTGAGCGGAGCTGCGCATGCGCCGCGTGCTCCCGTGGCATAGAGCCTCGTCCAGTCACGACTAGCCACTGGGCGGGGTGCGTGCCGGCCGAGGGCGCCGGCTGCCAGAGTGGACATGGCGGCCGGCCCCACTGGGGCGGTGCTGGCCCTCCTGGGGGTGCTCAGTGTCTGTGCAGCCAGCGCCTATGGGTCCGTGGCGGAGAGGGAGGCCGGCGGTGAGGCGGAATGGGCGGAACCGTGGGATGGCGCGGTTTTCCGGCCGCCCTCGGCGCTGGGCGCAGTGGGGGTGACGCGCAGCTCCGGAACGCCGAGACCAGGGAGGGAGGAGGCCGGAGATTTGCCGGTGCTGCTGTGGTGGAGCCCAGGGCTATTCCCCCACTTCTCGGGAGACTCGGAGCGCATCGAGTGTGCGCGCGGCGCTTGCGTGACGTCCCGGAACCGCCGAGCGCTGAGGGACTCGCGGACGCGCGCGCTGCTCTTCTACGGCACCGACTTCCGCGCTTCGGCCGCGCCGCTGCCGCGCCTGGCGCACCAGAGCTGGGCGCTCCTCCACGAGGAGTCGCCCCTCAACAACTTCTTGCTGAGCCACGGCCCGGGCATCCGCCTCTTCAATCTTACCTCCACATTCAGTCGCCACTCGGATTACCCGCTGTCGCTGCAGTGGCTGCCCGGGACCGCCTATCTGCGCCGCCCGGTGCCTCCGCTCCGGGAACGCGCGGAGTGGCGCCGCCGCGGCTACGCGCCGCTGCTCTATCTCCAGTCCCACTGCGACGTGCCTGCGGACCGGGACCGCTACGTGCGCGAGCTCATGCGCCACATCCCGGTGAGTGAGTGAGTGAGGGCGGGCGGGAGGGGAGGGAAAAGAGGGGGCGGGCTGAGGCCAGGACTCTAGGTGTCCAGGCCTCCGGGCCGCACCCTCATGACGTCCCTATTCTACCCGGTCTAGGTAGACTCCTACGGGAAATGCCTGCAGAATCGGGAGCTGCCCACTGCGCGGCTACAGGACACAGCCACGGCCACCACCGAGGATCCAGAGCTCTTGGCTTTCTTGTCCCGCTATAAGTTCCACTTGGCCCTGGAAAATGCCATCTGTAACGACTACATGACAGAAAAACTGTGGCGTCCCATGCATCTGGGCGCTGTGCCCGTGTACCGCGGCTCTCCCTCTGTGAGGGACTGGATGCCGAACAATCACTCCATCATCCTGATTGATGATTTTGAGTCTCCTCAGAAGCTGGCAGAGTTTATTGACTTTCTGGACAAGAATGATGAGGAATATATGAAATACCTGGCATACAAGCAACCTGGGGGCATCACCAACCAATTCCTTCTGGATAGTCTGAAGCATCGGGAGTGGGGAGTGAATGATCCTTTGCTGCCTAACTACCTCAACGGCTTCGAGTGTTTCGTCTGTGACCACGAACTGGCTCGGCTGGATGCCGAGAAAGCCCACGCGGACTCTCCCGGGGACAGCCCCGTTCTTGAGCCCCACATTGCCCAGCCCTCACACATGGACTGCCCAATGCCCACACCTGGCTTTGGCAATGTGGAAGAGATTCCTGAGAATGACAGGTAAGAATGCTGGGGTCCCCTGCAGCCATCAAATCACTTACTTACTTGCTTACTGTGGGCAATTAAGTAGCACTAGGTGCTGAGCAGGTGCAGGAGGAAATTATGATATGTGCTCACTCTGTCTTTAAGGTGTCAGCAGTCTAATTGGGGTTAGGATAAGACAAGCTGAAAAAGCTGAATAGATGTAAAATATAATTCAAGGCAACATATGAAAATCAGCTTATGTGGACAATGTTTCCAGTAGTGGTTCAAAAAGATTGAACCAGAACCCAGGGCCTGTGCAGACAGGGGAGAGAGAAAATGGGGCAAATAAATAGGGGCAAGGCTGTAAATATCATTAATACCAGGCTCAGGAGTTTGGACTGCACTAAAAACTCAACTATTTGAGCACCTTTTATAGAGTGGACATGGGGGTGGGGAGTAGAGGAGAGCATTTTGAGGGAGGCTTTTCTGCAGTAGTCAGGGCTTCCACCTGTTAACCAGCCATAATTTTTTTTAAGCAGCTGTGCTGAGGATGAGCCCCATGTACTTGGTGCATGTGGGGACACACTGCCTGTGTAACTAGAAAAACTAGGCATGGCCGGGCATGGTGGCTCACGCCTGTAATCCCAGCACTTTGGGAGGCCAAGGTGGGAGGAACACTTGAGGCCAGCGGTTCCAGACTAGCCTGGACAATGTAACAAAACCCTCTCTGTACAATTTAAAAGCTAAAAGCCTGGGGTGGTGATGCATGCCTGTAGTCCTGGCTACTTGGGAGGCTGTGGCAGGTGGATTGCTTGAACCCAGGAGTTCAATGCTGTAGTGAGCTAGGATCGTGCCACTGCATTCCAGCCTGGGTTGGAGTAAGACTGTGTCACACACACACAACAATGCGCAATGTGCATCAGAAGGGAAGAGAATAGGCTACTGCAGTAGGCGGCAAAAGGTGGTGGTATTGGGAAACAAGGCCAGCATGAGGTGTGTGGGGGGGAAATGTTGAAAGCACTTGTAGCAAGCCACACCTGTTGGGGGAGAGGTGATGAGATTATTAACCTTAAGTAAGACTGCTAGAATGGCCTACAGAGACCGACTTGGACAGTGGATGGCAGCAGAAGGCCATTTATTAATAGATGCTGCTGGCAGTTTTGTCCCGATGGTTGGAATGCTTCACCAAGTAATTTGTATCTAATTACAAATTGTTTGTATCTGAACATAATATGATTTACTAGAGGAAAAGTACAAAAAAAATGTGAAACATTAAGAAAATAAATATTCAGGTTATGTCTTTTCTAGATGCTGGATGCTACTTCATTTTGATGCACCTTCATTTTGATTATTGGGATAAAGGTGAAAGTTAAAAGATAATCATCTAAAGACCCCTGCCCCCTTGCTTTCCTTATGGAGACTACCACTTCCAGTCTGACCTCTGCTTTGCCTGCCTCTGAACCCCCTCCACATTTGGGAGCCAGAAGCAGGCAAGTCAGGAATTGTAATCGATTGGGTAGGCTGTGTGATGTCTTTGTATTTGTGGCTTTTAGCCTGTCACTTGGGCTAATACTGGATTTACTTCATGTTGTCTTCCCATCGCAGCAGTCTTGTCCAAGTTAGAGACCACTGTATCTGCTTAAGATGTCTTTGGCCCCACTCAGAAAAAGGCAGGACTCATAACTATGCTGCAGTTCCATAATCCAACCCCCATTTTGGTATTTCAGTTGGAAAGAGATGTGGCTGCAAGATTATTGGCAAGGTCTGGACCAGGGGGAAGCTCTCACTGCCATGATCCACAACAATGAAACAGAGCAGAGGAAATTTTGGGATTACCTACATGAAATCTTCATGAAAAGGCAACATCTCTAAGTGCCCTTGCAAGAACCTTTAACTTGGCGGAGCTAAGGAGATTTTATTCTACCCTGGGACATAAGGAGCATCCACTGCACAAACCCTTACTGAACACTGTCTTTTCATGGATTCAAGGCATTCCAGTTTTATCTATTAAGATTTTATCTTAATGATGAGTAGCCAAGGTCTAACATAGGGCCTCTCCTCAAGGAGAGATGGAGGCATACAATTCTTGGTTCAGTGAGAACCCTAAAACATCCATTTGATTCAAGGTGCTGGTCGAACAGTTTTTAAATTACTCAATTCTCTATTTCATCCTTTGAGCTGTACTTGACTACCAATGAAGTAAGATGGGTCAGGTTACGACTTACAACTTTTGTTCTATTCCCCAAACTCCTCATTATTCAGTACATTTCCCAATAATCTCTTCTTCTCATCTGTTGCTTTATAAATTGTTATGTTGGTGGAGAAGCAAAACTTCTGGTGAGTTGTATTCTGGTTTTTTGCATTTTTTATATTATGTATTTTGCTTTCATGTCAAACTTCTATTTTACTTTTTTTTTTTTTTTTTTTTTTTTTTTTTGGCCTTTTCCGTCCAGGTGTAGTGGCTTATGCCTGTAATCCCAACACTTTGGGAAGCTGAGGAGGGGCGACTGCTTGAAGCCAGGAGTTTAAGACCATCCTAGCAAGACCCTGTTTCTAAAAAATATAAAAGAATTAGCAGGGCATGGTGGTGCACACCTGTAGCCCTAGATACTTGGGAGGTTGAGGCAGGAGGATCACTTGAGTCCAGGAATTTAAGGCTGCAGTGAGCTATGATCATGATCACTGCACTCCAGCCTGGGTGACAGAGCGAGACACCGTCTCAAATTTTATATATATATATATATATACATATATATATACACACACATATATACACATATATATTTTTTAAGACAGAGTCTCGCTCTGTCACCAGGCTGGAGTGCAATGGCATGTTCTCGGCTCACTGCAACCTCCACCTCCCTGTTTCAAGCGATTCTCCTGCCTCAGCTTCCTGAGTAGCTGGGACTACAGGCATGCACCACCACGCCCAGCTAATTTTTTGTATTTTTAGTAGAGACGGGGTTTCGCCATGTTGGCAAGGATAGTCTTGATCTTTTGACCTCGTGATCCGCCTGCCTTGGCCTCCCAAAGTGCTGGGATTACAAGCGTGAGCCACTACACCCGGCCTCAAATATATATTTTTAATGGCCTTGTCTTTACTGGTTTTAGGCCCTTTCCCACAATTTCTGATGGAAATACAGAAACCTTGCCATCATTCTTACTGCTGGTTTGCATCTTATTTATGGTATATCTGGGATTCCTTCTCATGAACAGAAAGATTCAGTGGCTGTTATATGCCTTGTCAATTTAATGTATTGCCCTGTCCTCTTTTTGATCAAAGATGGAGAGACTAAGACTGGGAATTATGACAGAAAAAGTCATATTTTTCTTTAAATGATTTTGAAATGTTAAAATAGGCCAATATGAGTCAAAGTGCAAATTTTTCGGTATGTTGACCAAAAAAAAAAAAAAAAGCAGCCCAGGGAAAAAAGTGCAAATTTTTATAGTTCCTAATTCTTTTGTTTGCCTAATGAACTGTTCCCTCTATTTTATTGTTTTTATATGCTACAAAGGCCCATCTTCTGCAGTTATGGAAACAATGTAGCAGTATGTTTTAGTAATTATTTTATAATCTGTAGCACTTTTCACTTTTAAGTGCAATGAATAGTCCAGCTTCATTCACTGTATTACTGATAGGCTTCCATATGACCTTTTTTTTTTTTTGAGATGGAGTTTCGCTCTTGTCGCCCAGGCTGGAGTGCAATGGTGCGATCTCAGCTCACTAGAATCTCCGCCTCCCCAGTTCAAGTGATTCTTCTGCCTCAGCCTCCTGAGTAGTGGCGATTACAGGTGCCTGCCACCATGTCTAGCTAATTTTTGTATTTTTAGTAGAGATGGGGTTTCACCATGTTAGCCAGTCTGGTCTCGAACTCCTGAGCTCAGATGATTCACTTGGCTTGGCCTCCCAAAGTGCTGGGATTACAGGCGTGAGCCACCGTGCCCAGGCTCCCCCCTTTTTTTTTTTTTGAGGTAGAGTCTCACTGCATCACCAAGGCTAGAGTGCAGTGGCACAATTTTGGCTCACTGCAGCCTCTGCGTCCCATGATCAAGCAATTCTCGTGCTTCAACCTCCAGAGTGGTGGGATCACAGGCGCGCACCATCATGCCTGGCTAACTTTTTTGTATTTTAGTAGAAATGGGGTTTTGCCATGTTGGCCAGGCTGGTCTCAGACTCCTGACCTCAAATGATCCACTTGTCTCGGCCTCCCAAAGTGCTGGGATTATAGGAGTGAGCCACCGTGCCCAGCCTGAGACTACTTTTTGATGGAGCCCACTCAAAGGGATGAGGAGGCAAGGCAAGATATTTAAGCCACAAGTGGCTGGCTAAATAAAAGCTTAGAGCTGGGCGCACCCAGTACCAACAGGTGGCTCACACCTGTAATCCCAGCTACTTGGGAGGCTGAGGCAGGAGAATTGCTTGAACCTGGGAGGCGGAGGTTGCAGTGAGCCGAGATCACACCACTGCACTCCACCTGGGCAACAGAGCGGAGAGTGCTGTCTCAAAAAAAAAAAAAAAAAGAAAAACATTCGTTAGTCAGATTTGGGGATGCAGCCAAACCCTTCTTATTGCTGTGTCTGAACACAGTCTATGGACAGGGAAACCGATTGTAGCTGTTTCTGGGGCAGTGGAACAGGAAAGAATAACTTGGCCTTGAGCTACTCATGTGAGATGTATTAAGGAGAGTTATCATTAAGAAGTTCCCCAACAGGTTTACTCAGTATATTATCATACCTCATATACAGCCGTAGTCGTATGTATAATAGGATATATGTTAGACGCTTCAAAACAACGTGAGCGGCTACACGGGTTAATATACTGAAGACTAAGGATGTGCAAGAAAGCTGTAATTAGGGCTGAATTTCATTGCCAAGTGTTTCTTGTTTTCATTTAATCCTGAATTAATAAAAGATGATCTTATAAATACAGAAAGTTTGTCCTTACCCTGGTTTGACCTTTGCGAAAAGAACAAGAGAGGGACAGACCGCCAGGCTGGGTGCAGTGATCATACTGTGATCCCAGCACTTTGGGAGGCCGAGGGTGGGAGGATCGCTTGAGCCTAGGATTCAAGACCAGCTTGGTAACATGGCAAAACCCCATCTCTACAAAAAATAGAAAAAATTAGCTGGGCATGGTGTTGTGCCGTAGATTCAGCTACTTGGAGGCTGAAGTGGGAGATCGCACTGCACTCCAGCCTGGGTGACAGAGTGACACCCTGTCTCAAAAACAGAACTGAAAAAAAAAAAAAAAAAAAAACCTTCAAAAATATATCAAGCCACATGTGATGGCACGGGTCTGTAGCCCAGCTACTCAGAAGGCTGATGGCAGGAAGATGCTTGAGCCCAAGAGTTTGAGGCTATATTGCTGTGAGTGCCACCTCTGAGACCAACTGGGCAACATAGACCCGTCTTTAAAAAAAAAAAAAAAAAATCTGTTGGGCTGGGTGCAGTGGCTCACGCCTGTAATTCCAGCACTCTGGGAGACCAAGGCGGGCAGATCACCTGAGGTCAGGAGTTCAAGACCAGCCTGACCAACATGGAGAAACCTCATCTCTAGTAAAAATACAAAATTAGCTGGGCGTGGTGGCTGGCACATAACTGTAATCCCAGCTACTCAGGAGGCTGAGGCAGAAGAATCGCTGGAACCCAGGAGGCAGAGGTAGTGGTGAACCGACATCACGCCATTGCACTCTAGCCTGGGCAACAAGAGTAAAACTCTATCTCAAAAAAAAAAATTCTGTTAAAATTTGATATAGTAGGCACTGACAAAAGAGGTCAAATGCAGGACTGATTTCTAAGCTTGCAATCTATCTAAATACAGATGCTAATTTAGAGTGCATAATACATATTACATAAGTACAGACCTAGGTCAGGACTTAAATTTCATTATGTGCAATAAAAAGGTTAAGTGATAGTTAAGCAAGGTGTAGAATTATTCTTACCTCTCCTTCTAATGACACGAGCTCACATTGGCATTCCTTTGGTACTTTGACGTATAAAGTGGGCAGTTGTTTCTGAATGACTGTTGCTGGAGCCTCAGGCCTGCTTTGTGCTCGGTGCTTTCCAGACTTTCTCCTTTATTCCTATCACCATATAAGTACTCAGAAAAGAGCAGTGTAAACCAGGTGTTACATTTCCACAAGGGAAAGTAGAATCAAGAATAGCCACATGATACTTACTGAAAGCTTCACTTTCCCTATAGAGAAAGCAAGCAATATGAATTTTCTGATTTGGGGCCCAGCCTGCTCTGTATACAGCAGCAGACTCACTCACTGCAGGTTGGCATTATTGGTGACAGAAATGTCTGCTAGGAGTCTTTTAATTATACTCTGGAGTGTGGAGGTGGAGTGCAAGGCTGCTTCCTTTATTACTGCAAGTGTTATTTTCCGTTACCTCAGGTTTCATTTTGTATAATAAACTGCTTCTTGCTAAATAATGTCTTCTGCTTCATTATTTTTTGGGGGTGGGTGTAATAAAGTTGGAGATTTGTAAAAAAGTTTCAGGTTGGGTGTGGTGGCTCATGCCTGTAATCCCAGCACTTTGGGAGGCCAAGGCAGGAAGCTCACTTGAGCCCAGGAGTTCAAGAGTAGTCTGGGCAACATACCGAGACCCCATCTCTACAAAAAATAAAAAAAAACCTAGCCAGCCGGGTTTGGTGGTGTGAGCCTGTGGTTGCAGCTACTCCAGCAGCTGAAGCAGGAGGATCACTGGAGTGAGGCCAAGGCTGCAGTAAGCTAATCATTCCACTGCACTCCAACCTGGGTGACAGAACAAGACCCCAAATCCAAAAATAAATAAAACGTTTGTTCATTTAACAAGTATTTATTGGTACTATTCTAGGCACTGGGGATTCAGCAATGAACAAGATAGACAACGTTCCTTCTTTCATGCTTATATTTTTAAATGGGTGTTAGGGATAGGTCAGGCCATAATAAGACACTTCAGACTGTGATAGGCGCTATGAAGAAAACAGGTTGATGGTGGTGGGGTGGGAGAGGTCAGAGAAGCCCTCTGACATTAACTGAGACTTAAGGGAAGAGAAACAACCAGCCATGCAGAAATCAGTGGGAAGATTCCAAATATCTGTGATAAGTCATTTTTAACACACTACATTTACAAATCCAAATGTTGCTCCTCCAAAGCAGTCATGAGCTACAGGCTTGTTTCTGCTTTCATTACCAAAAACATTTCTTGGAGCTTATTTGGAAATGCTATGAGAATACGCTGCACATCTTTGAAATGAGTTTTTGTAAACAGCCAGAAGTAACTTGAGAACCAAGTCTGGCTGGGCGCAGAGGCTCAGTCATGTAAAGCACTTTGGGAGGGCGAGGCAGGAGGATCGCTTGAGCCCAGGAGTTCGAGACCAGTCCAGGCAATATGACAGAACCCCGTCTCT